ACTAACGTATAGCAGTAGCACCTGTTGTCCCACGCTACTGCTATACATGAATAGCTGTAGCGCTCTTTAGAAAAGGGCGCTGCTGATATTATCTGCAACGCTGTTTACTGGGAAGTGCTACTGGTAAGGCGGCACTACTGCTAAATTTCCCCCCTCGCTACTACTAGTTTTATTAGTTTTTCCCTGCATATTTGTTTTTGTATTTGTTTTGTATTTGAATAGGCTTTATACAATAATCTTTAGCATATCATACACATACAAATGTAATCATAGCATATACATACAATTAGTCCCATCAAATCATGTCATCATCATAATCATCATCCAACACAAAGTGGTCTCTCGTCATCATCTCGAAAATAGCGATACAAGTCTCGATTACTTGCAAATATATCGTCATCCATCTAAACAATGATATACGCGAGAAGAGCTATCACTTTGAGTACATGAGTTCGTATCCCTCTCTCGCATTAGCGTGAACCTAAACTAACTACTGCCTGTCGCTTGGAAACCGGAAACCGGTACACCTGGGCTTGACACCCCTGCCACTTGTCGTATATATACTCCTGGCATAGCACTTATTCACCATCGATGATCTATGCACCTGCATCTTCACATGAGTCGATGATATGCAACATATATAGTTGAGAAACAGAAAGAGACAGACTTGGCAAAAATAGAAACAACATATCATAAGCATAAATAACAAAGTTCATTGTACCCCAAAATGCCCTAACTAGAGTGATTTTCGCTAGTCGAGGAGGAGGACGGTTTAATTACATCACAAATAAAGTTTCACCATGCGTAGCTCAAAGTTTTGTCATACAGAAAGTATGGACTAAACGGACACATTGTCATATATCGACAATCACTCCAACATGTCGTTCCATCCATCCATGTCAGGGAGATAGTCCCCGAGCCTAGTGAAAGGCTTCAGGTCGAGACGCTGAGCGGCTATCCGTGTTCGGACGTCTTCCCGTGACATTTTTCCTTCTTCGTAGAACATCCTTGTTTTTCCGACGACCTCCTTCATGATGATTTGGGCAAGTTCGCGCTGGATGTGATAGAACTCGGCTCGAAGTCGATGATCCTCGATACCTCCTACGTTCTTTGCCCATTGCAGAATATGGGCATCGCCGGATCTAAGTGACATGCGAAGGTTCTGGTGGTCCCGTCTGTACTCCAGCATGTGATGTAGGACATATAATTCATCATTAAGAGAATCGTTCGGTTGCTGGATGCAGCAAAAGTCGGTCTTATGGCCGAAGGCGACCCTGCCGCCCCTTCTCTTATTGTCCCTGACCTCTAGTCAATTAATTCTAGACCTAATAGAATGAATAATGACATAAAAAAGACCTATTGTTTTGCAGGAATGTTGACTCCTTCCTGGTGCGGCAAATCCCGGGCACTCGATATGTCCTAGTTTGTAGCACAAGTCATGCCGAAATTCATGGAAAATTTCGGCATGACCTTTGCTAAAAAGTGGACAAATCGAGAACCTGAAATTTGTCGGAACAGAAATGAATCAATATTCCAGCAAAACATAGGCCACTCAGCATCATTCCCTGGAAACAGTGTTCAAATATCCCTCTTCGACACCGCAACACATGTCCAAATATACACGAGCAACCACATGTCTAAATTTCACAAGCTAATTCAAAAACAAAGTGTAGAAGAAAATTCATTTAACTACTAATAGAACAAAATTCAGTTAACTTTAGTGCTCTATAATGATGAAAGGAAAAAAAATTGTTTACTACTAATTTCATTCATTTAGGTTATTCATTTAACATCACCTAATTAACCTACTGTACCACTACTACTAGCAGCACTACTAACCTAATTAATCTAGCAAAACTCTAGTGCCCTAACTGAAAGACATCTAATTAACATCTACTAGTACCACTATTGCCCTAACCTAATTAACATCTACTAGTATCATTATATACTATACAAGCAACATCTACCCTAATTAAACCCTACTGCCCTAACTAACTTTTGTTATAAACCAAATTTTTTGCTCTAAACTAATTTTTGCTCTAACATCTACTACTTAACATCCTTTGCTCTAAACTAAATTTTTTGCTATAAACAAACTTTTGCTCTACTATTTTTTTCTCTAAAATGCAAAGAGAGAGGAGTGGGGGGAGGGGTGGGGGACTTACAGAGAGGGGAGAGACGGTGGCGGGGAGGTGCTCGGTGACAGAGGCAGGGGCGGAGAGGGAGGGCTCGGGCACGGGCAACGGCAGTCCTGGGAGGGCTCGGGCGGCGGCGAGGTGGAGTGCGCCGACGGTGACGTCGAGGGCGGCCTCGGGCGG